TGACATCATGGGTATAATATTTGAACAACCTCATTATCTACCCTTACTGAAGTAAACGATTTCAGTTGCTCTAGTAGATCATAAAAGGAACAAATCAGTTTTGATTACGTCACTAAACAGATTCACCTTGAATTATAAGTTGGAGATCTTTTTTTTTATAGCAATTTTAACTAAAAAATGTCCAAGACAATGAAGATAGTTACTGAACGTTTACACATTTAACAATATATATATATATATAGAGAGAGAGAGAAAAATATTATTTGGAATGTTGACATTGAAACTTTATTATCAGTTTCAACACTTACACAAAACCTCCAAACACCACAAGTACTTCTTCATAATAAAGTCCTTCAATAAGGATACGAAACATGTAGGCCTACTATAAAACAGTACAAACCTACCGAAGCTTCCGTAAATCCTCCAGTATTTGTTCATATTAACGCATGTACAGTACTTGCAAGAAACAAATGTATGGTAAATTTAACTGTCATTTTTTTTATTAAAAAAAATTTAAGCCGAGAGATTCGCTCCCAGCTTCAACCTTTACAAAGATCAGTAAATAAAAGTGTTTCGGTTCATAAAAGTAGACAACATTTTGTTTATTATCTGAAAGCATAATGTTAAAAGTTATACATAAGAAATTGGTCTGTTTTTTTTTTTTATGAATAACGCTGTTTTACAACTGTCCTTAATTTCTTTTTTTTTCTTACTAAATCTGATTTTGGTGTAGACGGAAAGAATTCAAAAACAAACTTTATAACACTGTTGTTACCAGTCAGACAAATAACATTTTGGTTGGTCAAAACCAAAATAAGTTTATGCCACAACAAAATAGTCCTCTGAAAATCCTATACTTAGGAATCAAATCATTGCTAAGACATTTTATAAATGACTGAGGAAGAAAACAAGACAGTGTAAGAAGTCCAATAAAAATTACAACTTTTTTTTTAAGTCTCTTCAAAATCTTCCAGCTCGCTCTTCTCTGTCTTTACGGTCTTTATCCTTTTCGCGGCTTCTAGATCGCCGATCCTTACGCTCTCTGCTTCGACTTCTCCGCCTTCGTTCTCTACTACGAGATCGGCGGCCGCGATCACGACTTTTAGACCTCGATCGAGAACGAGACCTGAAACCGAGAGGAGGAAAAACTTACGCTTTCAACAGACAAATCCCAACACGTTACTCTTGATGGTGATCGGGAAGGAAGTTTTAAGTATGAAAATCTAAGATAAATTATCGAATTATTGTAAAAATAAACTAATTAATTTACTATTGTTACAGTTCTTACATTCTTTTCCTTCTCCTGCCATACAGTTCTCGCCGTAACTCCCGAGATATGGGTTTCAAATGCATAAAGTTACAGAATCCACTTCTGGTACATTCCCTGGAAAGAAATATACTTGAATAACATTAATGTTTATTCTAGCACTTTTTTTTTTTTAAATTAAGATTAAATCTTTATTAACACCATAAATATGAAACTTCAAAATTTCAGGCCTAATCGGGATGTAGTGTTGTTGTTGTTTCATACTTTAACTGGTTATGGAATATTCTGGATAACTACACCAACGACCATCACCATAAGACCGTAGAAAAGAGAGTATCTCCGAGTAATTTAAATGACTTACAGTTTGGTTAAGTGTAACCCTACGTGGAGGAAGGTAATATTTTATCTAGTAACATGCAGTCTACCTCAGAATGAATTGATAAAATTACTGTACATCTAATACACAAACGGATAACTGTCGATGTATTTTACTGATGTCGAACACCGTTCCAAAGATGATACCCGTGATGTCATGCAGTATTTGTATTTGTTGAATTTTTACACTAAACTACTGGTATCGGATGGCTATCTGCACTAACCATCCCTAATTTAGAGGTGGGAGGCTAAAGGGAAGGCAGAGCCACTCACCAACAAATACTGGAATTGAACATCACATTATAATGCCTCCATGGCTGTGAATATTCATAATGTGATATACTAACGTCCAGTTGGACGGCGTACGTACATCAGAAATTCTATTACTCTGAAGAAGTTATTCCACTTCTTAAAGTTATTAGAATATACATTTAATGGAAGGATTTACACTTTCCAAGAGACTCCTTAAACTTGTTAGAAGACACATTTCTATGTTCCAAGAGATTCCTTAA